CAAGAGCTGTGGTTAAGTGTCAGAAGTGAGCCAAAGGCTTGGTGAGCAAATAATCATACTGCTTTTCTTTAGTTCAGGTTTCAATATGCACAAACAAAATCTGCTAATGCATACAATTCCACATGGAAGTGGTGTAGAAATAATGACTATATATCATGTTTCCCATGACTTAGTTTATTTAAAACAGATTTTATTTTTAAGTGCATTGAGTCACGTTTTAGTTTCACTTCCATGAAGAAAGGTTCAACTATATAAGGTTAAGAGATCTGTCCATTCAGAATGTACCACTTCCTTCTAAGAGCTGACAGGCTAAGTGACCTTCCTATGCTCTGGACATATCAGATACTGATTTAGCCTCATTGTTTAATATGTTTCTTTGGTGGAAATATTGCAGATTAGTAGGAACTTGAGTTCATATTAGTTATGCTTCTAAGGATTCCAAGAGTATGTTCTCTTCTGATGTTGGTTGATGTCCACCTGTCAGCAGTTTCTAAATACTTGTTGGACTCCCATTCTACTCATTTCTGTTATTCTGTTACTCCTTTCTCCTCTTCTACTCCTGAAATTTATGAATGATATGCTTAAGTAAGAGCTTTATGATATAAAAATTTGTCTTGCTTGTATGTTAGTACCCACCAGATATTGAGTATGTTCCAAGGATATCCTCTCTCTGGTATTTCTCTTGTCATTCTGCAGTAGTGTTTGCCAAGCTCCATGCACAGTTTTCTAGGCTGTTTCTCTTCATCTTCACCAGCAGCTCAACCTGGATCAACATCTGCTCTCTCTGCAAGAGGGAAAGAAAACGTTTCCTATGGCTTGTGTTGCAGGAAGAGGAAGTTCTGCAAAACTGTGCCCTCATCTTCTGCCCTTCATTTTCCCAGGCTCTGATAACTAGCCGGACAGATATTGTAGCTGTGGGGCCAAAGTCATGCAGAGAACATTGAAAGAGACTATATAAAGTAGTATAGCCCCCAGAGCTGTATGTTTATTTAAAGATTTGATTTTTGTTGGAGCAGTTCATCCAACATAAAGAACAAATAAGATTGCACATGCAAAACAGCATCTAAATGTCCTCTGCTTTCAAGACTCCAACTTTTTTCATATTATTTATTCAGAACTTCCTAAATTTCAAAATGAAAGAGACCTAAATGAAAGTTTTGTTTATCACACTTTTTTATTCTTACTTATATTTCAAGTTGAAATTTAAATTGTATTGTCTTTATGCATAGAAAAAGTCCATAGAAGTCGATGGCAAATATGGTGTTCATTGAAGATGAACACAATGAAGATCATATGTAATTGCCTTGAAGATATTTATATTCTCCACCAGTTGGAGATTTGTTGTAGTACTTTGATGAATGTTTAAATGAAATACTGAAATGAGAAAGTTGCAGCATGCCAAAAACATGCTTAAAACATAGTATATTTTTGTGTAAAACTTTATTGCCATTGCTTACTTTGTGCCTGAAGTATTCTCTGCCAACACTGGTCAGGCTTTCTGGTTAGTTGCTGTCTAGTAAAGCAGTGAAGAGGTGCCTTCCTTCTCTTCTTGCACAGCCTCCAGCCTCAGTCTCTGGAAACAATGCAATTTTAACTAAGTCCCTGCACAAACTTTTATCAGCAGTCCACAAACAGCACACTTGTGCAGAATAACTCTGCCACACACATTGGTTACCTCTGCTAATAAATTTCTGGTTGCAGATCCCAACCACAAGTTGTATTGCCAAATAGTTTGCAATCCAGCACTGTTGGTAATCATTTCATGTGTAAGTAGTGCTTGCTGTTTCTGTACAAGTCAGCACATTAGTCACAGTATGTTCACACAGTTGTCAACTCTTGCTCCTCCTGACAACTCATACTCAGGCAGATCTGTGGGAGAATGAAAGTACTGCCCAACACATTTTACAGAAAGGAAATTGAAGTGTAAAGACCTGTGACTTAACAATATCAGAGCTGGAAACAGTGGAGATGTTACCTGCTTCAGTCTTGAGTCTCCAGGACAAGACCTCATTAAGATTCTTACTCCTATCATTCCATCACTGCTGTGCATGGTCCCTATACCCAGACTACAGTAAGCTACAAGACATAGCAAACTTCTCACTGATACCAGTGGTTTTTGGAAAGAGAGAATTAAGATTATGCATTTCCCCTTGATTTTTGAAAGCTTTGCTGTAGTTGAATTTGTACCTGAGCAAATCTGAATTCACAGTTGCCTTAATATGAAGACATCAATCAGGCTGATAATGAGTTATCTACCTCATCTATATTTGGTTTTAAAGAAAAAGGAAAATAAGTTTTTCTCTCTTTGGAGGTTTCTTACATTCTTTATGGTAAAAAAACCCAACCAACCAAAACCAACAAAAAGTCCAACCAACAGTCAATCAAAATGTTATTATAAGTACTTGAAAATGGAGCAAATTCTGCTTATCTGCAGTTAGAGCACTACTTGTAGGTCACACCTATTTCTTGCTCAAGATTTGTCCAAAATATTTCTGAAAACTGGAGTCATTTGTCATGAAGCAGCAGGATTGTATGAGGGTTCCATAAGGAATGGTTGCACATACAGATCTGACTTTTGTTCCTGAACTATTAAATAAACTATAATGAGAAAGTAAATGTTAATATGGTCTGATCTACACGAGCCAATTAAATTTTTCTAGGGGTCCTGTAATTTGACTACCTAATTCTGCATTTGTGTGAGGAGATGAATAAATAGCAAAATGTTTAGGTATGAACTTTTTTAAAATAAGCCAAAAAATGGCAAGCCAGATTGCTAGTCTGAGATCTTTAAACCAGTGACTACTGGAGTCTTGCTGGATCAGTGTGTTATTCTGCTAGGAAGGATGGGACTGCTAACTTCAGAAGTTAGCCTACTGACTAGGGCTGCTAATTTGTTCTGTGATGGCCATTTCAGTGGGGGAAGTCATTCAAAGCTTGGCAGGATATTGTTCTGATATATACAAATCTTATACTTTCACAACTACAAACATCACACAAATATAAGACATCTTGATGCTGTGACACAAACCCTTCTCTGCAAAATTGTTATAAACACTGTTTATAATGTTGTCTTCAGTCTGTCTCATCTTACAGATTCCTTTAAAGTCAAAGCACACAGCACGTCTCTTTAGTATGTTGAAGTGATGCTGGGAACTGAAATGTAAGTAAATCTTGCTGCTCAGATATAATTGCTACCGGGAACTGAAATGTAAGTAAATCTTGCTGTTCAGATATGATTGGTACCTCCTAAAATTTTGCATAGCAGTACTTCAGGTCAACTGCAAGTACTTCTCTTTGAAAATGAAGTACTGAGCAAAGCTTTCCTTTTAGCACATTTATATGGTACTGGTTCATTGCATTCAATTCTTCCACATAGAATAGCATTTTAGTTAAATTACTGAGTGAACTTTTGAGACTAATCTCTTGCTTCCCTCCTGTGATTCAAATCTTATTGCAGAGCAGTTTTTGAGCCTGAGAACTGTATTACCTTAGACTGACGCCTAAACAGGATGTTTTGTTTTCCAAGTTCACCTGATGTTCCACACACACTTGAACATGCCTGGCCCCCAGGGCTAGACAGGAGTCCTGAAGCACGCTAAACAGGATGTTTTGTTTTCCAAGTTAACCTAATGTTCCACACACACTTTAACATGCCTGGCCCCCAGGGCTAGATAGGAGTCCTGAAGCACATGCAGCATGGATATTGGAGCCTTAGCACTGCTGATCATCCTGTGCTCTGTCCCGCTAGGGTACACAGTTTTCTAGGACTCCAGCCCAGACTACAAGGCATTAATTTCTCCTATCAAATACTTGAACAAACAGGAAGTTCAAACATTTGTGTTCTACTAGGGAACTTTATGGTTGGGTTAGAACTTAATAACAGCAGTTGCCCTTTGAGTCATACCCTTCTCCTTTCAAGAAAGAAAGAACAGGCACATAAGAATAAAGGTTCTTTAATGATATTTTAACATCCGTAATACAAACAATAAGTTAAACATAGTAAAAATAATTAAATAAAACAAGAGGTTCCAGCCCTCATACAAATAATTCAAGTCTGTAAAACAATTTGAATCTAGAAAACAAAGACAAGTGTAAAAACAAAACCAGCATAAGTTTGTTTTAGGGGGGAAAACATGTAGTTTCCATGTAGTATCACTTAAACGAATGGAAATGAAAGTTCTGAGTTTTGATACCTGCAGTATTCAATGGGTACTGAGTCCTTAAATCTTCTCCAGGGTGCATAGGTACATATAGAGAGTTTACATAATCAGACTTTTCAGAGGACCCAGACATCTTCAGATGTGACCTACAAGTCCAGCAAGTTTCCCATTTGCCTTCACACAGCACAGTTCTTAAGTGGAATACATTAAGAGTTTGCAATGCTGACACAGCTACTACAGGTGCCATCCTTAAGATTTTAGTAAGTTGGGTCTATAGCAATGAACCCTGTACACTCAGTGTTCCCTCAGTCAAAAGAGACTTTGGTCCTTCTTCACACAGCGGTAATAATACTTATCTGTTTTTTTCCCCTCCACTTTTTGATGCAAAGTCTGATCACACTCATTACTCTGTCTTAACAGGTTAGGTTTGTAGGACTTGAGTCTTAGTATTATTCAGAATGATGAGGAAAGATTTTAGACTCAGGCATGTATAAAATGAATACTTCAGTTAAGTAAGTTAAAACTGTACCAATATTTCCAGACTAAATGCTGGGTTTATAAATGAAGTGAACAGATAACTTGTTATGCATAGTATCGTGCATGGGAATAGTCATTTAAATGTTAAATATTTTAACTTCCCACTGAGTGGTTTTCAGGTAATTCAGCATAGTAAGATTATATATCAACCATCTCTCTGCCTCATGCCTCAGGAACACCGCTATGAGTGGCAGACCACACAAGCACTCAAAATGAAAGCCTCTTATGACACTCAGGTCTTTACTGTCCTGGTGTCAGTATAGGCTGAATCTTGTTCATTCCAGTCCAGCTGTAGAAAAAAGGTCACTTCGGTTCAGGAAGAAAACGACTCTTGGCCACTACCCCATTCATACTGGAGTCAATCCAGTTAAGGTATTGAGTAACTCTGGTGTAAACACCAGGTTTGTTTTTCTTTGCACAACCATCTCCCCAGCTGACAATTCCATAAACCAGCATCCTGCCATTGTGCTCACAGACCATGGGGCCACCGGAATCTCCCTGACAACAGAAAGGGAACATATTAGGCCATTTTCAGCAGATGGAGCCTTTATAACAGAGAGCCTATGATTGTTTTTCCAGACTGAAACAAGCTAGTAAATACCTATGAGCTAATGCTCTGATCTTTGAGAACATTGCATAGATGGAACAGAAGGCTTGGCATCTGTGACTTGAACACAGTCTCTAAGGCAGAGTTCTCTAGTTCCCCCCACCAGGACACAGAGGGAATAGTTACCTTGCAAACAACCCTCCATCCTAAATTTATAATCAGATATTAGGCTAGTGATAGAAGGTCAAAGCCAACATGGCCAATTCTTAATTACAGAATCAACATCCATAAAGTACTTTTACACCTGAGAACACTTTTCTTTTTAGTGGCTCATGTGGCCACTCTGCCCAGTAAGGGTGCAGGGAAATAAATCTGGTTTTGAGGAATCTGGAGGAGCTCAGTGTCTCCCTGTAATTCACTACAGTTCAAGTGCAAGATGAGATTAGAATAGTTGCTGTATTCCTGTGATACATATCCCTCAGCCAGTGCTTGGACAGATTGTAAATAAAGCTTTAAGGAGTAACAATAGTTAAGATAATGCAGTTTCTTGCATCTTTCCAGGAAGGGCTGGAGGAAGTAACACCCAACTCTAAGTCTCAGCCTTCTTCTGTATGTTTGGCCATACTACAATGTCACTGGATGTACCAAATGCCTGCTACATAAAAGTGAGACTCTTCTGACTAATAGAAGTACAAAATGCCACCAGCTGATCCATACAGTGTACATGCATTAAAAGTTATTTAGAAGATAAAACAAATCAGTTTTACCTTGCAGGCATCAGTCTTCCATGTAGGATCTCCAGCACAGATCATGTTGTCAGTAACTCTTAGACTATCATAGTATTCGTATTTGCATTGTCTCTGGGATATTAAGTTCACAGTGGCTGACATGAGTCTTTGAGCAAAGAAGATGTCATCTGCAAGCAAAAGAGTATTTTACTTTCACCATTCAAGACAAAAAACCCAAACAATATAACAGACTTTCAGCACTTAAATTAGAATAACCATTCCAGCTCTGCATTGAGGTTCTTATTTCCAGCTTATGTAGTATTGGTTTGCTTTTACTGGTAAAAAAAGTTTTAAAGAGAAAAAACAAGAGTTCCAAATGCAAAATATAAAGTGTAGATTTTAGAAGAGTAAGGGCTCAATAGCTTTTGAAGGCAATTCTGCATAAATGCAATCCTTTGCTCCCCTTATCAGGAGTGAAAAGATTGTGGTTTACACCTTGGCTTACTTTGTATGGTTGACAAGTGAGAAGCATCAGACAGGAAATGCCATGCACAACTAGAGAAGCTGATATCAAAGATAATCTTTGAGAGATGCACATGGAGTACATAGACTAGAAAGGAATCTTTCTAATACTTTGCAGATCATGGTGTAAAATCCATCCAGTTCCCACATTGTGGAAGTAGGAGTTTAGAAAGAGAAAAGTCATTCACTTACAAAAATCTTGTTTTCCATAGCCAGCTATTTCACACATAGTATTGTCTTGTAAGTAAAGGTTCCTCTCTGGCAAGCAGACTGTTCTGACATATTTGGATTCTACTGCACACTGTCCAGAAGTTGTCCTTATCCTTATCAAAGCTAAGAAACAAGTCAGAGAAGATAGTTAAGATTTGTACAGCAAGTTTTTCCCCTCAGGTTCTCCGACAATAGGAGTATTTGGTACAGTTAATGGGAATAGTTGCAATTATTGGTTATTAAAGTTCTGGTTACATACCGTTTCTCTCACTACTATTGTAATGACACTTTGTCATTATTTACTAACAACAAAATTAATTTCAGAGTACTGAAATGGGCAAATGTCCCAATTTGAAATTCCTTTCTAGAAGGATAAGGGCTGATAGCTCAGGGAAAAAGTCTTCTGTAAGTGTAAGTGTATCTTGAAATGTTTTAAAACCTCAACTTCCTGATTGGTTCTAGAGGGTAGCACTCCTGCTCTGAAGCACTTATAAAACTATTCTTCAATTTTTATTTTTTTAATTTAGCAGTCACAGGAATCTGGAAGAGGTGGTAGAGTTCTAAGGGTCAAGTGCAAGAGTGGCAAGCTTGTTCTATGCAAGTTGCAAAAGTCCTTCTCTGACTTTGTTGTTTTAGGAATAGGCTTGTGAAATCCAGAGACTTAAAGTCCACATTAATTCAGGATAACCTTCAGCTAATATGGTGCCTGATATGGTATTTCCATACTATATCATGAAACCTACTTGGCATGCATTTTTTCATCATTTGCTACACATACAGTGTGATCTCTGCAGATACAGAACATGATGGCAGAAATGGAATGCTGCCACAAGTACTTATGGAAAAGCCATGCCTTCCACAAGCCCAGAGATAAGACAGGCTTAGAGCTGACTACATGCCAAGTAATGCATCTGATATGTGCCACAAACCAAATTTATATAAGTGGAAAAAAATTATGCTCAACACACAGTTATCAGAAACATCTAATTCCTACTGCCCCTCATCTCTGGTTCTCCTCCTTTTAGAAGAGGTACACCACAGTTATGCAGCCTTCAGCCATTCTCAGTGTTTTAAAGGCCCATATTAAGATGACACTTACCAATATCATTCTCATTGCCACCTGTGTCATCTGTAAAGTCAGGGTGAGAAATAATGTCATCAACCATGAATTCTTGTTCCTTATCATCAGTAACATTCAGTATGGACTTTCCAAGGAAGACTTTGAAGGCAGATTTGTTTAGTGGTCTTCTTGACCTGAGAGTAAAGACATTGATGAAGACTGATTTCTGAGAGTAAGGTCAACAGTTCAGATTCAGTCCCAGTTCTTTTTCATGTTTACTTTGATGCTGACCAGAGAAAATGAAATCTAGTCATCTCTGAAAGTTGATCCAATGTTCTAAAGGAAAGCATCCTGATTTTCCATTTGAATAAATAAAATAGATGTTCAGACATTTTGAAATGCACACCTAGCTAGTTGCTACTAAGGCAAGGTGTTGGCAATAAGAATCCTCTGCAGGATGCCAAAAGGATCAGCTTTCCATGGGAAAACCAATAAAAAAACATCCACAAATGTATTGCTCAAGAGTTCATCACCATCAATACAATTTTTAAGTTTTGGGAACAGCTAAGGTAAAAATGAAATCCTGGCTCCAATATAGGCTGAATTATTTAAATTGCATAATCCGCCCAACTGTTCACATCTTGCTAGCTCATTCTGCTACATGTGGACTCCCAGAGGCTTAAAGTTTCTGGCTGCTCTTCTTGTTTTGTTCAATCAAAAGAACATTGTTACTGTGGTACACTTGGCAGAGTTGCTCAGCGAGCATCACGCAAAGAAATCAGTTGAAGAAAGCTGCCAGTAAGAAGCATGTGGAACTGCAAACTTACGGAGTATGGAAACAGTGTGCTGCTGTGAGCACCCAGCAGGGGTCGATGAGGCTGCCACCGCACAGGAACTGGTCCATGCCCCTTACGGTTTGGAAGATACCAGCTACCCAGGGCTGAGTCTCGACCTCTGCCTGGCTTCCACCAACAATCTTGAAGTACTTGTTCATGCTTCTTTGACCACATGCAGCCCCTATGAAAGGAGAAATTTTGTTCAGATGTTCATATAACTTAACACAAACCTTGTGCTATTAAAAATAAAAGAACAACTAAGAAATCGGTTGTCTTCAAACTAATGTTACTTACCACACTTGTCTATGTTGCAGGGTGTTTCTCTAATGCCAAACCCCTTTTTGGTGTAACACCAGGGCCTGCTCCTTCCATTTGGATTTCTAAAAGATAAAGGAAGTGTTCTTTTCATAAAGGCAGTTTAAAAAAAAGATAGTATCTTAAAATTCTAAGTGTCCTGAAATAAACCAAAAGTGTCCTGTTGCAGGATAAGCCAGAGAATTAAGATCTATTATTGTTACATACTGTGAATTTCGCAGTATGATCAGCTTCAGTGGTAAGCAAGAACTCTAAAACACTTCAGAGTCACATTCCAAATACTTTTAGCCAAAATTCATCTCTGTAATGTTGCTATTTTTTAAAAAAATGTTCCTCACTGAAACACCTCTGGGGATGCAACAATAGGTGTTTTCCCAGGAAGAGTGATGGTTTTTTTACCTGCAGTAGCTGTGTTTGCCCAGTCCAAGCTGCAAAGCATTCTCTGAGTAAGCATTGTAAGGAAACCTCCTGACTACTGAGGGCAAGTCCCACGGCAGACATCCATCTTCTGTTGCCATCCCTCTGTAGTCCTCTCCATTTTCAGTATAGCACATGCTGTCACTGTCTGAGAAAATAAATATTTTATTGCAGCATGTTCTTGTTTATAATTGTTCAGTGAATCCTTCTAATAAGGAAAAGTTCTTGCATTACACTCGAAAACAGATGATGCAAAACTAGACTGATTATACATTCTTATTACATTTGTTCTATATGCATTTTCAGCATAGAGTCTCTTACACTCTAAAAGCATGCATATTATCCTTTAATAGTTTCAATGAATTTCACAATGCAATCAGTTCTTCCTCTACTCTGACAAGGTCACTTTTTTCACCCCAAAGTAAAACATTTGTGAGGTGAGCAACCTTAGAGAGAAGACAGGGACAAAAAAAAATTAGAGATCCTGATTTTTGCACTAATATTTAGTTGTTTCTCCTCACTTAGTTTGTTAGCATAAAGTGCTGAAGGCTATCCAGTTGTGTTTATGGGTAATACTTTCACTTGGCATTTCATATTAATCATTTGACTATCTTTTTAGACCTTTTCAATCAATTTAGTTCGTATTATGGAAGATAGATACTCTACCTAGTTCACAGTGAATCCCAGTGTATCCTTCTGGGCATACACAACGACTAATTCCACTAAAGAGGTAATAGGTAATGCAAGTTCCTCCATTCAAACAGTGGCAATCTGTAAGGAAAAGATATCACTAATTAGAGGTAAAACATTTGAATGATGAGGTGAAATGCAATTGCAAACTAAGTTTTAGGTGTTTGAGTCTTCCTTCTTGCATGAGGGTGTAATTGCAGGATAATAAGTTCTTTTTAGGTTCAAGTAGAACAGGCAGATACTTACCCTTGTGATCTGATCTGCGTTTATATAGCAGCTTGTAGTACTTCCTGCTATAAACCTAAGGGAAAAGAAAAAAGTATTTTAGGGAAGTAGTTTCTTTTATGTGGTTTGGTTATCTTCTATGGGCCCAAGCTCTGCTCTCCCTACTGCATACCTTCAACAGTTCAGATTTTTTGCATGAGGTTACCAGCCGAACCTGCTCTGTGGAATCTGGATATGAAGGAAAAGTGGAACTCTACTTGAGCAAAGCAGAATGGGGAAGGAAAAAAATATTTCACATAACAGGAAAAAAAAAATCCTCAGAAAAGCCCCATCAAACTGATCCACTGCATGAGGTCAACATTGTAATTATTTATGCTACAAGGACCTAAGGAGCTCTTAATGGTCAGTGTCCCTAAAATAGAGAAGAAAACTTCTCCCTCTCCATTTCTGAGCCACCAAGCAGCATGGCAAAAATGCCACATTCACCAGCTGCATCTGTTACTCTGGTGACCTTGGTGCCTCACATTTGTGCAAGAGAATAAAAGCCAGTAAATTTATACAATAATAGATTCTTGCTCTGTCCTTCAAGGTCCTGCCTCTGCTTTGCAGGCTGGATACTTCTTTTTCCATGAAATTAAAGAAGACTAGGCTTTTAATATACTTTTTCCAGAGGTAAAGTGAGCTTGCTAGAGCAAAAACAAATAATGGTCACAATATAGTTCCATAATGTTAGTGAATGGCTTTGCTGATAGGTATCAAATGTCATACAAGTTGATAGTAAAAAATACTCAAATTAATATCCATTGCTACTTTTTTTTTATTTAGCACTACTCCTTCAAGTAGGGGAGGTGAAAATTTAGTTAAGGCCCAATATCCACCTCCATGACAGACCAGTGAGTTCTTGGTGCTCAGCATTCAGGTCTAAATTGCTTTAAGAGAAAAATGGAAAAACTAGATTTCTTGGTTATTGCATGATGTCTTGACTATTTGAATGCTAGCTGACATCTTAGGGTGGAGCAGAAGTAGGAGAAACAAAGGCCTTACACAGGTTTCTTGGAGGTCTACGTGCAGCAGATGTATATGTACATGCAAAGGCAGCAAAAGAGAATTCAAGACAAAAGCCTGCTGCACCACCCAAAGCATCTAATCAAGTCTGTGCTGACAGGTGGAATCAAGTACAGCAATAGTTCCTATCAAACCAACCCACCATTTATTTTAAAACTTACAGAATCTAGTCCCGTGACAAGTGTGCCCAGGGTTACTGTGAGGAAGATGAGTAACTTCATGTTGTTAGTCAACTTCTCACTTTGTTCTTCTTCTATCTGTAATTCTGGTTCTGAAATAAAAAAGGAACTTAGTGTCATGCTGTAGCTTGGACAGCCAGCTTTCTTGCTTCTGTTGTCATCTTCGGGTCTCAGAAGATGACACAACACAACTGATGAAGAATTAAGCATTGACTTGCTGTGGAATATCTGCTTATTATTTCCATATATTAAATTAGAGGTCATTGTTTGAAGATCCTTTTTGTACAGTCAGCAATGCAAACAGATATTTTTTAAGAGTTTAAATGTTTTTAAGGGTTTAAAGCAGGGAAAGGGAAATTGGAGAAATCCTTATTCAGTTTTTTGCAGTGTAGACTAACAGTAGAAAATTAGCAAATTTTCTTAGCTCTCATCCAGCTGTTGGCATCTATTTAACTGATCATTACAACCTTGCAACAAAAGCACTGAACATCCAACTTCAGGGTATGAAAGGGAAAGCTCCTTTTTTCAGCACCTCTGTGGTTATTGGCTGCATCTTGTTGATACTAGGCACTTACACAAGCCTGATCACCTCACTGAGTGCCTCTGACCACTGCAAACTCTTGCAAGTCTGCTCATGATGTTACCTCACAGGATTAGAGGCTTACAACACCATCTGTCTTGGTTTCTTATTTGCAGGTAGATCAGGCAGCTAAGCATGTATAGCAATCTTAACAAGAACAACTAGTAAAAAATTAACTTCCATTATACTCCCCATTGTTAATCAAATTCCAGTATGCCTTTTTTGATTTGTAATTAAGTCATGGGGATATTTTAAAGCATCCTCGGTTATAGAAAACTGTAAAACCTGATGTTTACAAGATGTCACAGGAATCTTAGTTACATTTTCATTGCCAAGCAATGCAATGCAATGGGAAAGGTTGTATGGAACTGAGCTGGTGCTGAAGCTGCTTCAAAGATTTCTACACTGGACTAGTTTAGTCCTGCAGAGTGAGTGCTTGCTGAGACATGGAAAGCACCTTGCAGTTTGGTTTTATTTGGAAGAAATGCAGTGCAAGTACTCTAAAGCTTGTTAACTCATAGCTTAAAGTTCACAGCTTGCTCATGTGAACCAAAACATGGGGAATAGAGAAGACCGAATTCATTTGAAAATACTAACATTATTGGACATTATGCAAATACAAATGCTAATGTAGATGCACCCTTTGCTCCTAAGCAGGTTTCATAATGCAAGCAAGCAAATCATGCCTCAGGTACTTGGCTGTGCATGCCCTGCAGAGTCAGATGCGATTTCAGCAAGATCTATTCCCCCTAAACATCATTAAGGTAATTATTTTCAGCAGCGATGCAAATAATTTATCAATTCTTACCACAATTATTTCCTCAGGCCCAACCTTACCATCACAAACAGCAGCACCGCTGATTTCATGTCCAAATTCTGACACACCACAGCACTAGGACTGACCTCCCCCAGCGCTGCGATGCTGCAGCGCAGCGGGTTTTACGCCTCTTTTTGAGATTTCAGTTAAAGAGCAAACGCTCCGTTCTGCTCCGCTCGGACACGGCGTTTCTGCCCTCAGCTCGCAGCCGTGTTTGGAAGGCACAACAGCACTTACCGGCGGCGCGGCGGGCGATACTCGGTGCACCGAGGCTCGGTGCGGGCACTGCGGGCGATACTCGGCTCGGCTCGGGCTCTGCGGGCGATACTCGGTTCGGCTCGGGCACTGCGGGCTCGGTG